AATTAAAGGTGATATTCCTGGGAACGGAGATGACAATCCTAAGACATGAACAACATGCAGAATTGGCTAGAAGAGATGTTCACAAACATATTACATATTACATGAATTCATTCAATATACACACCTGCACTGGCATATGTATTAGGTTCAATCTGTGGATTTTAATAATGGGTAATTGGCTTAAACTGAAAACATACTTCAGGTTGATATAATATGGAACCTAAGAGTTAAAAGACCTTAAAGAGTACATCTCATCCATCTTAGAGTTGTGAACTCTGCAGTGATCAGGGGATTCAACTAGTGTCCTTTGGGAACTCGAGGCCAAAGTCTCTGGAAATTCAGTCTGGTATTTTTTTTTTTTCCTCTCAAGTGCCAACATGAAATGACTGATAAGGAAACCACAAAGACAAAATCACACACACTACGCCAGAACTGTAAATATGTTAGAGAGAGAGAGAGAGAGAGAGAAATATCACAGCCCTGTAAATTCCAGCGACTCAAAGCCAGACTCAGCAACTTAGCGAAGTGTTGAGCAACTCAGTGAGACCCTGTCTCTAAATAAAATACAAAATAGGGCTGGGGATGTGGCTCAGTCATTGAGTGTCCCTGAGTTCAATCCTCGGTACCCCCTTCCCCTCCAAAAACGGCTGGGGATGTAACTCAGTGGTATAGCACCCTTGTTTTTCAATCCCAGGACCAAACACACAAACAAACCAAATAAAACAAAAACCAACAAACAACCCCCCCCCAAAAAAAAAAAAAAACCTTATTAAGTTAATTTGCTCATGGAAGAAATGCCTGTCTGTGCGGAAATTTCTACTTGACTCAGACAGGTTTTCATTTGAGGCTTGTAATAGATGAGCCATTCTCTAAATCTTCATCTATTTTTTATACGATGGGGTGACAGTCATCATCTGAAGTCACTTTTAGGTTTCCCTGAAGTATGGAAAAATGAACCTAATCTTACTTTCATAACCTTCTTAAAGGGCAAAATTTCACTTATAGTTTTAAAATAGTTTTTAAAAGGAGCCACCACTATCAACAAACCCAACAATTTAAGTTCCATGAGGACATAAAAGACTATCCATGGGTGGGTGAAAATGTGCTCTATTTCTGCCTTTGATTATGGTAACATCTCATGAGGTTTTTTTTTTTTTTCAAGATTATTATTTTTCTGAAACTTAAATTTGAAAAAAAAAAACTGAACATGTCAAATCAAGCCTGATTTTCCAGTATTTTTGAGGCTTAAAACTCAAAGGTGAATCACTGAGGATCAGGAGACAACAGACATCAGGCAACCAGTTCTCCGTGGTTATGGGTGACATTTATTCCGAAGCCCACTCTTCTTCCTCATCAGTGCCTTTCAAACTGAGCAGCCAAAGCAGGCCAGACAGTAGAGGAGGGTGGATTCTACCCAAGGGAAGAAGACAAAGTTCACTGCTGCAAGTCTTCATCCAAATTTCACATTATGCTCCATACCATTCTTTTTTTTTTTGGAGGGGGGGTAGGTTAACTGGGGATTGACCTCAGGGGCAGTCGACCACTGAGCCACATCCCCAGCCCTATTTTGTATTTTATTTAGAGACAGGTTCTCACTGAATTGCTTAGTGTCTCACTTGTGGTGAGGCTGGCTTTGAACTCACGATCCTCCTGCCTCAGCGCTCTGGACTGCTGTGATTACAGCTGTGCACCACCACGCCCAGCTCTATACCATTCTTATGCTTGTTTTGGTATAAGAAAATAAGCACCCTCTACTTCCCCGCTTCTGCTCTATTTTTTTTTTCTCCAAAGCTTATTACATCTATGAAATTATATGTTCATTTATTGTCTTTGATTGATTGTTTCCCCCTGCTGTCCCCATGAGGGCTATCTTGCTCACTGCTGTACACCAAGAGGAAGATCTGGCATGTACCAGGACTCAATGAATATATGTGGAATGAAAGACGGACTGTTTTAGATGATGATGTGTTAAACTGACTTCCCTGGAAGGCGCATCTTCTTTGCCCCATGGTGCAGAGGCACACCTGCTCATCCTTGGTGGCAGGTGCTCCTAGTTTGGGAACATAGACTGTGCTACAGTTAGGGAATGTGGGGGAAAGAAGTGACAATGACTCCTCTCAGTTTTTTGGCATCATATTCTTGACTTCTGAGTCCATATCATGAGTGTAGTGTGTCATAGACTGAGATATTTTTTTCTTGATTCCTGATGAATTGGTCATTGGATTTTTATTTCCCACTCAATGTCCTCAGATTCCTTTATGGTAGGATTCAGTGGCCTGCACTTGCCTGGATAATGCTGTTCTCGCTGCCCATCTAAATCCTTGTGTCCCTCAAAGCTCAGCTTGGGCCCCATCTCTTTTGTGACATTAGCCTTCATTTAATGGCCGGACTCCCAAGGTCAATTCTTTTTTCTCACTCAGGGGGCAGCCTCTGTGTCTCTGTAGAGTCGGGGAAGGATGTGTAGGGGCTCTGCTGAAGAGGCCTGAGAGAAAGAACAAGCTGATTTCAAAGCATAGATGGCAATTTTGAAAGAGAGCACAACAGTGTACCATCTCCCACTAAACCACAAATACCAATCACTGACACTTAACTCTGCCTTTTCTTTTAGTTCTCAGGAAAACATTTGCTTTATATCATCTATAGCACTTTCAAATACAAAAATCATTATCCTTGACCTGACCAGGGCCTCTTGACAAGATATAGCTGGGCTCGAAAACACGTTTTGCTAGTTCTTGACATTTCCAAGCTTATTTAAAAGAGAGTTCCCTGCTATTTTCCAAGAGTATCTGGCACTACCTTATTTACACCTACTGTCAATATACTTAGTGTAAGTCCTTACTTCCACTTGTGCCCAGTGCTTTTCTAAACTGCATGTATTAATTCATTATCTTCCAAAACAACTTTACTATTATACAGATTCTGTTCATATCCCCATTTCACAGATAAGGAAACTGAGGCATAGAAAGAGGGTGACTAAGGGCTGACACCATGAGCCTAACTACCCAGCCCATCTGCCTCACTCCTTTGTTCTCTCCCGCCACCTCCCTGTGCCTATCTGCTTCCCATGCCCGCCTGACCTTTACTCTTTGTGTTCACAGTAGATCCAGATGCCTCTCTTCAATGAGATCTACTGTCTCCCAAATCAACTAAGCTAAGTTTCTTTCAATTAGGATAAGATCACTTTAGGATCATTTCGAATTCCTTGCAAACACTTACGGATATTGATTTATTCACTTCTTTGCTGGCCTCTGCTATTCCATGCTTTGATCAGAGACACACACATTTCTTAAAATGCTCCAACCCTTTTCACTTTCTAAACTCCTGAATGGAATATTTGCAAAAAAATGGAAAGTTCAACCAGAAAACGCCATGATCTACGTGGGGTTTGGAGAATATAACCCATGGTGGTGTGTGAAGTGGGGCATGGGAGGGTACGTGGATGAGAAACAGGATTTTTGTAATTTAGAAACTTTCACTTTTGGTGTCATGAAATGCTGTAAGAGCTTTTGGGTATAGAAAAGAAGGGGTGGATTCAAAAGGCATTTCAGAAAGAACAATAGATTGGACTTGTGGGCAATTGCTTCTAGGGATCAGGGAGAGAAGGGAGTTAAAATGATATTGCTATTTTGGGCCTGAATAATTATAATGAGTGTCATTACCTGAAATAGGTGTATCAGGAAGCTACTCTGATTCATGGAGAACAAAAAGTTCATTTTAGAATTTTGTCAACATTCCTCTTCAACAGTTGGAAGACACCATAAGACAGCATGTGTAATGAGTCCCCTTTAAGGGTCTATCAGGTCACCTGATGTTAATGTTAAATCTCTAACAATAATTAGCATAGCGTGAGGACACCTTTTACTCTAGCCTCACAGAAGTGCCTGCCAATGTATTTGATGAATTAGATCATCCCCAGGCTTCTTCAACTGGGATGATTTGGGGGGTATGATTTGAATGTCAAGAGTAGGTTTACTACATGGCCTAACTCCAAACAATAGTAGATAGTAAAACTCTTCATTGTCACACCTAAAAATCCTCAGAAAGTGGCCAAGTTGTTCATGGCAAACTGATTATGTGCTTGATTTCTAGGCTTGGTCTTACTTCATGTTAAATATTTTGAAATAACAAACTCAAACATCTTGAACTCTCCCCCAGTGTGTTTTTTCAAAGGCCTGGACGGTGCCAGCAGAACCTACAGATTGAATGGTGAGAGCAAGTTTTCTGGGAGTTAGTTGTTACAATCAGCAACTCAGGGTAGAAATGTAAAAAGTCAAAGCTGAATGGCTTAGACTTAGCAGGTCCACAAGTGCTCAAAGGCAAGGCCTAGAATGGTGTGCTCACCATTGAGAGATTGGTAGACATTGACAGAAGAGTGTTTCAAAAATTCAAAATGACTGAAGATTCATGCTGGTAATTGACCCCAAACCTCAGATTGGCACACTTTCCCTCAACTTTACATAAGCTCAGTGTAGTTGCCAATGCACATTAGTGACCATTAAAACGACTTTCAGCAAATCTCTATATTCAAAGTCTAACTTGACCGACCACCTTACTTCCAACAAGTCTATGCTCCTTCGTGCAGAGTAAGGGGTTAAGGGTTAGCCCGGGCGTCTGTGCAAGCTGCTTCAAAGGGCCAGATTTTTGGAGACCGTGGGTAGGAAAACTAAATCCAGTCCGGGTTTTGTCTGAACGGGGGGACCGGAGGGTTGCGAGGAATGGCTCGAGAAGAGGGGGGCGGTGGTGGAAAACACACCACACAAACAGCTCGCGCCCAGGGACGGCAGCGGTAGGCCCGGAGCGCGCGGGCGCAGCGGGCCGGGAGAGGCGCGCGCCGGCCCGGCCGCCGGCCGCATGGAGCGCAGCGCGGCCCGCGGCTCCCGGGCGGCGGCGGCGGCGGAGGCGGCAGCGCGCCGCTCACTCACACCCACCCCCGCCCGCGGCCGCCGCGCCGCCCCGCCGTAGCCGCCGGCCGCCGGCGTCCCCGCGGGCCGGTCCAGCGAAGGCGGCGCCCGCGCCTCTGCGACCAGTGGCAGCCGCAAAACCCAGGGAGGCGGCTCCAGCAGCCCCTCGCCGCCCCGCGACCCGGGCGCCTGCAGCCAAAGCTACCGCCTGGGGAGGAAGAGGAGGAAGAGGAGGTGACAAACTCTCCGGCTCCACGCCGCGGCCCGCAGCTCCGCGCTCAGGCATGCAGGCGCGGCGTCTAGCCAAGCGCTCCAGCCTGGGCAGCCGCCGCGGGGGCGCCGCGCTGCAGCCGGCTGGGCCGGCGTCCGCGCCCGCCCAGGAAGCAGCCCTGCACGGACTCCCGCCCCCTGCCCCGGGCCCGGGCCCAGTCCCGGAGAGCTGGAGGCCACCTCTGCCGCCGCCGCGCAGCGCCGGGACCGGCCCCCCGCGCGCTGCCGGAGCTGCCGCCTCGTCGCCGGTGCTGCTGCTTCTGGGGGAGGAAGACGAGGACGAAGAAGGCGGGAGCAGGCGGCGGAGGGGACTCGGTAGGGTGGAGGAGAAGCCCCGAGGGGGCGCGGAGGAGGAGGAGGATGAAGAGGAAGACGAGGACGAGGAGGTGGTCGTCGAGGTGGTGGACGGCGACGACGACGACGAGGATGGCGAGGAGCGTTTCGTGCCCCTCGGACCGGGTCGTGCGGTCCCCAAGGGCCCGGCCCGGGGCGCGTTGAAGGTGCGTGCTGGGTGCGGTGGCGCTCGTGGGACTCGCCGGACCGGGGAGGGGGACTGGCCTGGGCTCCGAACCCCAGGGCAAGGCGCCTGGCTGAGGCCAAGGACTAGAGACCCGGCCGGGAGGGGTGTGTCAGGCGGCGCCGGCGGCCGCGCGGGGCAGAGCGAGGGAACTGTTGATTTGCTTGCGCCTCCGGCCCCCTGCACCTCTCCGAGGCGGCCTCTCCCGCTTTGCTTATAGGCCGGGTCGGGTTTCTTGTCTTGTGTGGGTGTGAGGAAAGGACACTTCTCCAGGGTAGGCAGGGGAACTTGGAGGTCGGACGAGGTGGGTGACGATTTGCGCCTGGTGAGGACGGGCGAGGTGGGATGGTGGTGGTGAGATGTTTTATTCTTCCTAAGGATGCTAGACTGAACCCTTCTTATTTTGAGGACTATTCAAGCTTATTGCAACTATGGAGCAGCTTTTCTTGTCAATCTCGCAACCCCTTCCTTCACCCGAGAACAATTGTTGATGACTTTCCACGCAGGCACTTGTGAGGGAACCGGTAAGCCCAGTGCAGCAAAAAACAAGCCATTGGTTTCCGCATGCATTTTGCTAGCAGCTTTTGGCATTTCCCTTCGTTCTCCCGTGTTTAAGCTCGACCTGGGTTAGCATTTTCCCCACCTCAAAATTGCAAAGGAGGAAAAGGGAAATCGAAAAGTGGGGAGGGGGGCGGTTGGAGGAGAGGGATTTGGCTTTTAAAATGGACGTTTCAGCTGAGAATTCTAGCGAAGTCCCCCTGTGCACTGAAGCACCAGGAGATCTTTCCGTTTGTGTATCTTCAGGAGATAAGGGGTTTATTATTACACAACTGACTGGCTGGGCTTTCAGGCATGCGATTGGACAAAGCCAACCACGTTGAGGTTCATGCACCGTGTATGTTGCTAAGAAGTTTTGAGGGCAGCAAGTGGTAAGCGATGAAGTGAGTGATTTTTCTCAAGAGTGGTTCTTAAAATCAGCTGAATAACTATTTCTTGGGAGTTTTCAAGAGGTATTTCCAGAGGAAAAAAGACAAACAAGTGAGCTTAATAGAGACTAATTTAAAAAAAAAATCTTTTGATTCTTGCCCCCCCACCCCAAAATGAAAATCAGCTGCTGAAGCATGAAATTGTATTTCCAAAGAAATGTTAAACATTAGCAATTAGAATAGACTGAGAATAGATTTGGGCACAAATTTCTTTCCCAGACCACCCTGGAAGTTTGATCTCTGAGAGTGAGAAATGTTCAGCAAATAGTCATTTGGGATGATAGTTTTTGACAGCTGCTTGTTGGAATCTGGACTGTGACCACACTCATTACCATGGTCTGCTGAAAAGCCTGTATTGTATGGCCACAGGATATAGCTGGATTTGAATTAAGTCACATGGTATCAGTGACACTGAATAATAAGAGTAGTGACTCCGTAATATTTTTGTTCAGACATACTGAAAATGTGTCTTGTGGTTTGAATAGTGATTGCACAATTTATAATAGAAAAATTAACAATAACTTATGCTCTGTGATCAAAGCAAACTCAATGTAGGAAAAAATCAACAGTATAAAAACAGAATATCTAGGGTGTGATAGTTGACATTATCAAAAAAAGATTTTTTCACACCTCCAATTTTTAAAAATCCATTCAAATTTATAACATTGCTTGGCTCACAGCTTTTCAGAAACTTATATAATAAATGCGTTGAGATATAACTATCTTTTTTTCCTTTTAAAAACAATTGCTTTAAAGACACTATGACACTCCATCTGAAGACATTTTGTATTGGAATATCAAAGAATTTTGTTATAATGCATATAAGAATGCAAACAGGTTCTGGGGCAGAAGCTCAGTGGCAGTGCTTGCCTAGCATGTGTGAGGCATTGGGTTCAATCCTCAGCACCACATTAAAAAAAAATAAACAAAATAAAAGTATGTTGTTCATCTACAACTACAAAAAAATTTTTTCAAAACAGAATGAAAACATGTTGTATTCATGCATTCATTAGTTCAACAAATATTTATTGAGCACCTACTGTGTGCCAGGTGCCATTCTCAAACACAATGGGGAATCTTCCTGATGCTCACATTGAATGAGAGGTGTCATGACAACAATCAAAGATATGCTTATATATATGTTCACTTATTTATGACACGTGAGATTTTGATGAATGCTCTGACGGAATTAATATCCTAGAGTCTGGGCTGAAAAGCGAACATGGGACCATCTCTCTTAGGAAGAGACGTTTGATCTGAGATCTAGGATTTGCTTGGGGGGAAAAGGTCTTTCCAGGCACCGAGAATCACAATTGCAAGTCTTGAAGTAGAAAGGAGGAAGACATGACTGTGGCAGGAACTTGGTAGGAAGGCAGTATTTCACAGAAGCAGGTCTGGGTCAGCAACATAGAAAAGGTGGGCCTTTTTGAGGTCGAGTGTGAAGTCTCTGGAAAGTCTTTGGCAGTAAAAGCTTACCAGGTGATTTGCATTTCTCAGATCATGCTGTGTGAATAGAGAGCAGCAGTGGAAGCAGAGAGATCAGTTAGGTGGCTATGGCTGCTGCAGTCCACTGAGTGGTGAGGACTGCTTGGAGTTAGAGGACGGCAAGAGTGGAGTTGAGATGAATTCTGCATTCATTGTGAAGAGCAGCCTGCCAGAACTTATTGATGGATTGGGTGATGAGGTAAAGGAAAGGAAGGTAATCCAGGATGAGGCCCTGATATAAAGAGTGGTTAGTTGTGCCATTCACTGAGATTGGGAAAACTGGGAGAGCAAAAATCAAACGTTTTGTTTTTGACATCTTAAGTGTGAGATGATGATTCTTTCCTCTGAATGAAGATTGCAGTTAGGCCAGTGGCTGTAGGATGTGGAGCCAGGAAGAGGTCAGGGCTAGAAAGAGAGGTTTGGGAGCCATCAACATGTTGATGTCATTTAAAGCCCAATGCATAGGTAGTTCCACTGGGCAAGAGAAGAGAACCTTGAGCAGGTGCTGGGGCACAGGATGCTGTAAGTTTGGGTCTAGGAGAAGCCAGTGAAGATGGTTGACAGGCAGCATCCAAATAAAAAAATATAAAGTCCACTATACCAAGAGAAGAAATAATTCCAAAAAGTGGTGTGTAATGAACCTGTTGAATATTGCAGGGATATTGAGTAAGAAAGAGACTTTTTCTTATTCAATATGGCACTTAGGGTTATCCTTGATAGAGGAAGTTTATGATGTGACTAAAAGAGCTAGCAGCAAATGGGAGTTGAGGATGTAAGGGGATTTATGAAAAAAAAATTTGACAGGTTTTCTTGGAGAACAGAGAAGGAGGGAATAGGTAGAGGGCCTATGTCTAGGTTTGTTTTTATTGTTAAAATGAGATGCAATAGACTATAGTGACTAGAGCATGATGGAAATTATCTAGAAGGGTGTGAGTGTATTAGTTTTCTGTTGCTGTGTAACAAATTACCATAAAGTTTTTGCCTTAAAGTAGTTCTCACAGTTTCAATGAAGTAGGAGCCTGGTGTCAGCTTAACTGAGCCTGCCGCCATCGGTCTCGCAAGGCTGAATTTAAGGGGTTAAGTGGATTGAGTTCTCATCTGGAAGTTTGACCAGGGAAGATTTCACTTACTTGGGCTGTAGGCAGAGTTCATTCCCCTGCATCTGTAGGACTGAGGGTCCCAGTTTCTTGCTGGCTATTACCTGGAAGATGTCCTTAGATCCTGCAGCCTCTCAACCTCACCCTGTCTGTCCTGCAGCTATTTGTCCTGTGGGCTTCAATAAGGAGAAGCTAGCAAGATGGAGTCTTCCATAATACAGTGTAATTGCAGGAGCAGATTCCATCGTCTTTGGCATATTCTTTTGGTTAGAAGTGAGTCGCAGATTCCACTCACACTTAGAGGAGGGATCATACAAGGTCCTGAATATCCAAAGATGAGGGTCATGGGTGATTACCTTAGGGAGAAACCAGATATGCAAAGAGGAGCAGAGTAATTGTAGGAGGAAAGTTCTTAGGGGAAAATAGGAGAAGAATCTAGAACCCAAGTAGAGGGTTGGCCTTTGGACTCTTCTTCCATTGAGATGGAGAGATAGTAGAGAAGACAAGTCAAAATGTGGGTATATTTTCTATATTAGATGATGGTGAGATGAAGTAGTACTTGGTGAGTGGCCTCTGTTTTCCCCATGCAGGAGAAGAGAAAGGGACTAAGGGTGAGGGAGATTTGAAGTAGGAGTTGAAAGCATGAAATAGTGCATGGCAGAGCAGGAGAGTAAATATGCTAGGGAGACACACATAGAGTTGCCAGACAGTATCAAGGACCCATCCAAGGTTTGTGGTTCTGCATTTGTAGTGTAAGCAGTCTGTCTGGGTATGTGATTTTTCCCAACATTCTGTTGCCTCAAGCATAAAGTAATAATCATAAAAATAATCCCAGCTAATTTTTATTAAGTGCTTACCGTGGCCGGTACAAGTTGACGTGTGTAAACTCGTTTAAACTTCATTACATCTCTGTGGATATCTGTAACATAGCCAGCAGGTATTATTGTTATCAGTCTTATTTTACAAAAGGCATAACTAACTTACTTGAAGATGCACAACTGTTAGGTGGCAGAGCAGCAGTTTGCACCCTGGGCAGTCTAATTGCAGGGCTGGCACCCTTGTGCATTACACTGTGTTGCCTCCTGTAGAGAAAGCAGAGAGCTGGGTTCAGCAGGGGCAGGGTTTCACCAGGTGGGTGAGCAGTGGAAAGGAGGAAGTCGTCAAGGATATGAGTATGTTGATGGGATATGGGATCTAAGAATAGTGAGGACAGGAATGGGTGGGGCGAGAGATGGTGAAGACCTCCTGGGTCAGTGAACTGAAGAAAACAAAGGGTAATCCAATAAAATCAATAAAACATAGGAATGAAAAAATGGCAATAGTTTCCGAAATAATATTAAAACGAGTATTTGCAGAACCTTATGAGAAAGGAACTGTACTAAATATGTGAAGAAGGATCTTAGGAGAACTTCTGA